GTACACAAATTTCCTAATATTTTAATATTTACAATCTTTATGGTCTTATAATGTATATATAAAAATAAATGGTTGTTTCAGTACAATACGTTTAAATTTTATTGATAAATAAAAAAATTCATTTTATAAATCGATTTTATAATATCAAAAAACATTTGTTAAGTATTTCTTAAAATTATAATTACAAGTATAATTAAAATTATATTTGAGTTTATAACGAATATTTATCTTATTGATGTTGATGTAATAGACAAAATAATAAAAGTGATTATCCGTTTTTATTAAAAAATTAATAAGATAGATGTTACGGATTGCATTGCCACCTACAAGGCCTGGATTTGCGTATTTGTGTGTCTCGCAACCTCGGCAATACACATTGAAGTGGTAGGTGATTATTCATTGCAGCCTACCGAAGATTTACAAGTCGCAGGGGCATCCCACGGGTCATGCACTCTGACTGTAGAACGAGGTTCATCGGAGCTGACAAGAAATTGAAAAAACTTTTCATTCAACACACGAAGGAACACCACCACATTACAACCACACTCATGAATAACCACGCACAGTGGGAATTTAACCCACCTGCGGCCCCCCACATGGGAGGAAAATGGGAAGCCGCAGTGAAGTTCCATATCAATCGAACAACAACAGATGCATCATTCACCATTGAAGAAATTAATACACTGCTAACCCAGATAGAGCCCATCCTGTACTCACGTCCAATCCAACCATTGACGGATGACCCTGATGACTGCTCTGCACTTACTCCAGGTCACTTCCTCATAGGAGAACCTCTCAACACGCTTCCTGATCCATCCGCAAGTGATCTTAACGCGTCAATAATAGCAAGGTGATAATTCATTCAACACCGAGTCCAACGATACTGGAAGCAATGGAGAAAACATTACCTACAGCAATTTCTCTCAACCTCCAAGTGGCATCACCCAAGCAACACGATCAAGGTCGGATCTCTAGTCCTCATCACAGGTCAACGACAACCACAATGCAAGTGGCCGCTCGCGAGAGTCATGAAACTGCACCCTGGAAAGGATGAACTAACTAGAGTAGTGACACTAAAAACCAACTCTTCAATAATCTCAAGACCAATTCACATTCCTGCACTCTTACCAGTTCCCATCGAAGATACAGATATCAATCATCAATGAATTTATGATGGCGGGCGGAATGTTACGGATTGCAGTAGTTTCTAAGCGAAATAAAAAATGGGAGATGTATGAGCGCGCGAGCATTTGTTTTGTAAAAACTGACTAACGAATTCAAAGAATGCTTATAACAGAAAAACTCGAATATACTACTATAATTCCAAAAGTAATAACAAATGAACTCTACGAGGCTATGCCCTGTTTATGTCACGACAAATATCGGCATAACAACGACCACCGATGCAATTTTAACGCAGCTTGTTTATACGAGAATATTTAAGGAGCTACACATGACGGTCTCGTCCTCTTACTAGTTCAATCAAGCAATCATCAAGATCAAATTATTGTTCTTTAAGTCAACGCCATTTACACAGAGATCGCCTCCAATACACACAGATTGTCTCCAACTAACGCATAATCAATACACATTCAGCTTACTTGCACCACACAGATCGACCTCACTACACGTAAGTCACGCTATTACACACGTTCTTACGTGCCATCAATGCACTAAGATCGACTCCACATGTAAGCTGCGCTATTACACGCCTTCTTTCGAATCACTAACACACGACTCTGTGAGTTAAGTAAGCAGCAATACCTAGACCACGGCATCATCATTGCCCTTCATCAGTGACGTCACACATCAACGCCACCACGGCAGCAACAATTCTCCTCAACAGTGACGTCACGCACCAGCGCCCCACTCAGGCCTCTCCAGCTTATTGGTAGCGGCAATCGGCGGCATCAACACTCCCCTTTCACACCGTGACACTCTTCACGGCATCATTACCCTTCATCAGCGCATCTCCCACTACCACTACGAGTCCTAACCACGAGTAGGATAATTACGCGCCACATCAAGAATACACTTACAAGATTATTATCACTCATACTACTTGAAGAAACTCTCACCTATTCATTGTATCATTCATTCAATCTCACCTCAATAGACCACTGATTTTTTATTATATCATTATATTTAATAAAAGGAAAACCAACTCATACAAAGGCAGTATTGAATTATTGCATTGTCCATTCCACTTGCCAGCAAGCCTCCCTTCATCATCTCTGGGAAGCCTTTAGTCTGATCCCTGACAATAGATCAAGGTTGTTCAAAAGTCATTAAATTTAATTTTGCTGAAACTGAATGTGTCTAGGATTAGACTAAAAATTCCCAGTGATGTTCGGTGGGAGGATTGCTGACAAGGGGAATGGGATAGCGCATTTATTCAATATTTAACACATAGTGTATCTTGGCATTTTCTCTCTTTATTTATTTGCAAACTACCCAATAATATTATTCAAATATGGTGTTGAGTCCATGTGGAGTCTCTGATTCTGTGAAGATGAAGGTTGTAAAGCTGAAATGCAATAGCGTAAATCCTTGACACTCTGTGTATAGTGCCACGTATGACCATTATTCCGAGGTACAGCTTCGATCACAGTAACGTTTTAGTGCTTTAATCCAGGAAACGACCCCGAATGCAGCGGCATTTAATACAGAGGTTTCAATGTCTTATCCACGTATGTGGTGTATGCGTAAGTGGTACGCTTCGTATGTAATAATTACATTTGAAACACAATCACCACTCTTGACTGCTTAAATGTGATGCACTTAAATTAGTTATAACTTATTTGGATTTACTGTTGGTTTATAATTTTATTATTTCTGAGTCTGGTGATTAACTAGTTATTATTTCGGAGTTTCGTGGCAGTGTGAATAATAACTAAGGAAAACTATAGTGAACAATAACTGATGACTGAATGATTGATAAAAATACAGTAAGGTGCGGTGCGTGGCGGGCTGCTCTTAAATATTCGCGTGGCTGTTTACAACGCTGGCAATAGTGCTTGGGCTTGTTGTTAGAGCGAAAGTCTTGATGACATCAGAAACAACGCTACAGAATGTTCGAGAAGTCCAGAAGGGCACTGCCTTGGAAGGTTCGAGAATTTTCAAATCAACGTTGCTATGCGAAAATATTGTTGGGTACTAGAAAATAAGATAAGGCAAAATAAGATAATAAAATAAGATAAGAAAATAAGGCGTAGACTATACAAGAATTCACAGAATCAATATTTAGAAACATAAACGTCCGAGAGCTTGTTTTTTTTTAATTCTTCGAAATTACTCCAGTCCCGAACAACTTTAATATACTTTATTTAATAGTATATTATTCAATAATACTTTATGTAAAAAGTATACATGTCTGGGATCAGACTGAAAACCTCCCGCTGATGGTGGGTGGAAGTGTTGCGGGCAAGTGGAGAAGGCAAATGAGAGTGTGTGTACTCTCAGTAGTGTGAGGCGTGATTCCTTCTTTCCGTGAGAAGTGTTGCTGTTGTAACCGATGCTTACTAAAAGAAGGCTTGAATCGCTGCTGCTTACGTAGCCGTGGGCCTCCGGTATTGGTGTGGTTGTAAGGAACGTGCGTATTGCCGTTGCTGCTTACGTAGGTGTGGGCCACCGGTGTTGTATCTATGTTGCGATATGTTGGTATATGTTGTAGTTTCGTTACATTCACTCTTAAATTATGTTTGCACTGGCACTTCTTGAATATAAGTTTATGTTTAAGTTTGATGGATTCTAATGGTGTAAGCGCGCGAAAGATTGTTTATAAACACTAGCCAACGAACTCGAGTAATATTTCTGCACCGAAAATCCGAATATAGGACTAGAATTTCGAAGAATTATAACAATGAAACTCACAAAAACTATGCTTATTGACGTCACTACTATTTATTACATTATTATATTTAACAAAGGAAAGAAAGGAAACACTGCATGTAGTATTGAATAATTGCATTGCCCCTTCCACTTGCCAGCAAGACCTCCACCCAACATCTAAGGAAGTTTTTAGTCTGATCCCAGACAACAACCTTATTGATTATCAGTCAACTATTTTCATATTGAAACTATGTAGTATGTATTTTTACAATTTACCATGATAAAAATAACATATAACTGCAGCTATGCAACAATTGATTTCTACATATAAAAATTCGATTAATATTTGTAATTATAATTTCTTTTCTGTTATCTTTATTGCATATCTATAATTCTATTTCAATGTTGACATTTTACGGTCGATCATTTTTATTTGTATTAAATCAATATTGATTAATTTAATTAAGAAAATAAAGATATAATAAGTACGAAAATAAAAAGTCGAATCTTAAATGACTGACAAAACCATTGAAATATAGAAATTTCTATATATTTGAATTAGAATCACGCACTCCTCTTTCGAAATTAAAGAGGAAGGGTAGAAATGGAGTAAAAATAATACACAATATATAGATACACAGTTTTATTATGAATGATTAAAAAAAAAATAAACAAAATTATCATGGCACTAAATTTATTTTACTTATATATATGTTCATAATTCTTACTAAATACTAAATTAAATCTGATAATTTACAATTTATTTTATTATTTTTAAAATTACATTTAAATTTAAATTTACGATTAAACAAATAAACATAAAATATCTATATATTTTCAATAATTAAAAACTTTTATAAGCAAACATTAAATTAATCTTTGCATGCTTTTACAAATCTTAAATATTAAAGAAAAGTTTTTAATTTTTTCTTATACTATTATATGAATTTTGAAAAATGTTATTGATATAAATTAAATTTCATATTTTTATATATTAATGAAACGTTTCAGTAAAGCAATAAAGCTTTCATAGAAAAAAAAGAAATTTTTATAATATAAAAAAACTTATTTTCTATGGAAACTTAATTATTCTGTCTTTTTAATAATTTAAAATACAAATGTTCATAGAAATTATGATAAAAGAAAAGTTTTACACAATATAAACAATTAATGTTTATAAATAAGCATTCAAATAACAAAATGTTTATTTTTTATAAATAAAATATTTGAATCACCAGCAATCCTCATTTTTTACAAGAATTATACAGCTAGGAAGCTCTGCGCTTAATAGAAATTTTTCCTCGACATAATTGAGAAATATATATTCTTACTTTACTACTATCTGAAACTTTCTTTACCCAAATCTAAAATGATACTCTAATCAGTTTAAAAATAATATTAAGTGAGATTGATAAATTGATTAAATACTTACAGCTTCTGTCCCAATTGCTGAAATATTTGCTGAAAATCGAGATAAATCTTTTCCCTCTACATAAACTGGTTGACCTCTATGGAACCTAAACATTTTTATATAATTAGGATTGCAAGTACACATTATTAATTTCTAATTTAGAATAATCTGTATACAATGTTAATTAAAAACTTATACCATCTTCTTTCATATAAGAGTTTACCATCTTCTATCCTTGTTTCAACTAAAACTGTATCTATTGGAATTGGAATATGCTGATTTACTATGTTCCCTGTATTATAGTGTTGCGTAACAACTGATTTTATAACAATTAATATAAATTATGTGCTAAATTAGATTAGTATCATCATTATAAAGGATTAAAAACTTGTTGTTATAATAAAACAAATGTACCTGGTTTACGGTTACCAGTCAATATTTTTCCACGACTGATAGCCTTTAAGTCATTTTCAATTTCTTTTTCATCTAATAAGTAATTTAATTGAGCTGGAGGTGGCTTTCTTCGTTTTTCAACTTTTTCAGGTACAGGATCATTCGGACGTCTTCGTAATTTTCTTGTCATAATTGGTTTTATCTATAATTTAAAATAGTATGAAACATTCAATTAATATTATAGAAACCAAATTCATTAAATACAATCTAAAACTAATTGTGTAACCTCAGTTGAGTCGCCTGTTAGCTCCATTGAATATCTATCTGATTCAATCATTTTACGCTTTTCTTCCATATCAGCTACTAAATTTTCTTTCAAATCAGTTTTTTTTTCTTCAAATTCTTTAATAGCAGCTTTTTTATCCAATATATAATCTCTTTCAACACATTCTGTCAAATAATCTTTATAAATTATATTCAAACGCAGTCTTTCCTTATATTGAGATTCCAATCGCTTGACTTTTCGATTATATTCAGTATGTGTACCATCTTTCAACTGCTGTAGTTGTTTTTTTAGGCTAGCTAATTTGTCTTGATATATTCTAAAAAAAATTATCAACAGTATTGTATAGAGTAATAGTAATTTATAAATTTTTTAGATAAATATTTATAATTGTTAACTCACTGTTCTTTAATTTCAGTATATTCTTCAGATTTTCCCATATCAGTTTCACTAGCTTCCTCTGTATCTAAAATTAATGAGCATGTTTAAATATCAGACACAAATAAAATAAATATTAATATTGCACCTTCATCAGTTTCATCTTGATCATCAAGATCGCGGTCATCGTCTATATAATCTTCGTTTTCTTCTTCAATATCATAATCTTCTTGTCCACAAACTACAGAGTAAGGGGAATCTTGATACATTTTTAAATAATTGAGGTGTATTCAATCTCTTTAAATACAGATAAAAACATTATAAAAATAATTTGAAAATATATTTATTTACAATTTGAGGTTTAATACACAAAGCATTGAATTCTAGCGCAAGTAGAGTGCGCCCTATTCCTACATGCGTACAAAAGATCTAAACTTATGCAGAATGCACATAGAAATATTAAACTTTTAATAATTATAGAATTTTTAATATTTTTCCAATAAATGCTAAAAATAAAGAAATATTAGTTCTTGAATAAACATTATATTTAAAATATACAGAAATATAAAATATTAATAAATTAACAAAGCGATATAAAAAAAATTGATTTTATACTATAGTTGCAAATATTTAGTAAATAATAAATGTATTAATCAAAAGTTTCAAATATATCTTTTGAAAAGATAAATTAAAAAACAAAATTTAAAATAAGCTTTAGAGTATGCTATATTTTATATGAAAATAATATGAAATTATAAATATGTACATCATTTTAATATTTTTTTTATGTAGACAGGTACATGAAATACTCCAAATAATTTACATATAACTTAATTTTAAATTTGAATATTTCAATATTTAAAAAATATATATTTATATCTATTTTTTAATTCAACATTAATTATAATTATATTATTTTATTATATTTACTAATTACGCAATTAGTATATATACGTATTTAATTATTTAATTTAACTTCAATTGTTTATATTATAATAAGATAAATAAAAATATTGAATAAAAAAATTTAGAAAAAATTTTATATTATGCACTTTTGATATAGTAAAATATTAAACTTTTTATCATATTTTTATATCTTGTTTTACTTGATTTTTATTTGTGATTATTGATACATTTTACACTATAAATTGTTTATAATTAACTCATAGTATAATATACTACTAACTATAAGTTTGTTAATTTCACATATACACTACATTTATTTTTGAGTTACACCATTCACAATTTTAAATATATTACAAAATTAGAATAAATAAAAGTAGCCATTGGCATGTTATTTTAATTTATTGTGTATTTATCATCCATCTTTTACATCCATGAATTCTTAATGATACTTAAATTTTACAATTATTGCACCAAACTTATTTTAATTAAGTAGTAAGGCTTTAAAATTATAGAGATAATATGTTTATATTAATTTCAATATTTTATGTGAATTCCTTCAATTCTTTAAAAAATTGTATAAAAAAACATTTTTCATCAGTTTATTTGGAAATAATTTTGTAATGAAATTTTATATCAAATAAAACTTCCAATTTTAGTTATTAAAGTAGAAATTAGATTCTCCTGTATTCATCGTAATATCTACAAGATTTTGAATTGTTATATTGTATTTAACTTTATTTTTTGTTCATAAAATGTTATTTTCATTGTTGAATTTGATCCTTCGAAAAATTCTATTTTTAATATAATTTGAATAATTTCTATATTTTGTATATCGTAATAATTCTTTATATATATATAAATTTTTTTATGTTTTCATCTTTCATTTTTTATAGTTTATTTCTATTAAATTAATAAAATCAACAAAATGTGATTTTGATCAAACACTTATTAATGTAAATAAATTTTTTTCCTTTTACAAATGTATACTCAATAGAATATTTAAGTTAAATCATAATCCTTTAATAACATCAACAAATCGTTTATATTTGATCGTTCGAATCAATATTATTATTATTAGTGATAGTAATATATGTAATAAATCGTAAGACACCGAATTGTTGGATCCAATTCACTGATATTTATCCTTGTATCTTTTATTCGTCGTTACTATTAAAGTTTAGTGAAGTATTTTTATGTAATCTTATTCTTTTTCAATATTGGTTTAAATTTGTTATTTTATAATAAATATATTAAAATTACATCTGAATATCATTAAATATCTATAATATATTTATAATATGTAATACATTTATTAATAAATCAAGCTTGATTTTATTGAAAATTGATTTATCTTATTAAATATATATAATTATATTTTGAAAAATCCAAATATATTTGATTAGTTGGAAAAACTATGTTTAATTTAATTTAATAATTTAAAATATTAAAAGACTAAGCATTTATTATTTTATAATTAAATGCTTCATAATAGAATTACTATAAAACAGTTAATTTTCGCACGATTAATTACATGACTATTAGTATTGCTTTTATATTAAAATATAGATTATACGCTGTCCACTGTTATTATTACAATAAAACAATATTTTTATCAATTTAATTGTAAAATAATGTGTTTTGAATGAATAATAACTATTTAATCTTTTTTTTTTTATTTTTTAAAATACTGAAATTTGTAAATTCCATCTATTTTTATCTATATTTTCATAAATAAATTTTATTCTACAATCATTTTGATAATTAATACAAAATCGATATACTTTTAATGATAAATGAGCACCTATGAAAACATACTTTAAGATCATATTGATATATCCTATCCATATTAAAAAAAATTAAATAATTTGTTTTATGGAAAAATCACATTTTATTTAAATAAAAAATTTTTAATTTCATGTTTTATATTTTTGCTATTATTAAGCTCGCCGATTGTTATTAATAATATCTAATCTGCTTTTCAATATTCCACGTTTTAAAGCTGAAATTAATATATTTGATAGTTTCTTTTACAGTACATTTGAACTTTATATGGCCACTTGATTGTCGTAACTGAATATTGTATATATTTTTTAATTTTATAAAAATATTTAATATAATAATATTCTACTTCCAATTTAGTAATAGTAAATAATCGTAATTATTGTATTGACATGTACGTGTGCATCAGGTGTGATTATAATCTTTGCACATTAAAAGGTTTATTGAAAAGTAATACATAAAAGTCTACTATAAAATGACAATAAACATATTGTTTAAGATTGTTATAAAAGTATTTTATAATTTGCTTATATTTTTATAAAAATATACAAAATTAATGTAAAAGACATTTCTATTTAATTAATACTAATAAAAATAGAAAAATATGTCAAAAATTATTATTTTATTATTATTTCCAATAAAACTTATATATGCATATATACATGTATATAATTATTATAAATATTAAAATCTTTTAATTATTCCACTGTTTTTGGTTATAATAGTAATAAGATTAAGATATATATAATAAATTCGATGTAAAACGCAAAGAATTTTTATGCTAATATTAATAATAATTTTATTTAGAATATACTAAAAAAGAAGCTCTTCCTAATCAGGAAGCAAATTGAAGTTCTCATGAATTTAATCATATGTCGAAAATAGACTTGACCTACAAAACAGACAATAAAGGTATTGTTTGCTTATAGGTATAAAATCTGAAATCCATAAACCAAGTAGTCAGTTGAATTTCCGACTAGAGTGAATTCAATCGTTATTGAATGCTTTGCTTAAGATGATGAATAACTTAATTTTGTATATTTTAAATCTCAATCTTAAAAAGTTTTATAAATCACAAATTCTAGAGGTTCCCCATTTTTATTGCTTAACACTGTCTTATGCTATGCGCACTACATCAGCTCTTTGAAAATTCCATGCGTCCACATGTCTACAATGTATATATTTTTAGTAGTAGTTCTTTAGGAATTCAAGTGTTATTCGAATTATTTCTTTGTAAACGTCCATGCGTATGCATAATGTTTATCTTGTAGAGCGTAGCAATAGTTTGTACTGGGACTGTTTATATAGTATTCATTCGATTTCAAGTTTAAATCCAATGTCACGTTGTACATCTTTTACATTGTTGTCATTGCCTAGGTTATTTAGTCATCCACCACATGAAAGCGATAGTTTCGGATAAAATATACAAACATGGTACAGATGCTTTCTTGTCTTCGTGCCTTTTTACTCGGGTTCGTTATCGTCCTTGGCGTGAGTATTCTATTATCAGTCTAAAATCCTATTCAAATCATTTTCTTTAACTATTAATACTGCTTCATTATAGAACTGTATGGAGCGAAGTTAAAATATTTTCATAAAATTATAGATTCTTTTCTGGATCAGTATTTTGCAATTGTATTTAACTTTTAATTGAAGGTGATTGAAATAGTATCTTAGGATATAATACAGTTCAAAAGTAGAAAGCACATGAATGAAATAATGCATAACTATAGTTAAAAATATTCAAGAAATTATACGAATTGTACACTATAGTCATACTTAAATACTCATTGAGTCATTTCATTTATTCAAAATACCTTCATGCCATTTATTTTACATTACTGTTTAAATAAACATAGATTATCTGATTAAATAGTCACTTCCATTATCTGCATTGTTTGCAAATGTTTTTAATAACTATATTAATTTTGATGCTAGAATTTGTATAAACAAATAATTTTATTTAATCATATTATTTATTACTATAAAACTACTAATATAATATTTTAATACATATACACAAATTATTAACCATTCCTAGTGATTATATTACATATATTAATCAATTTATATATATTGATATTGTATTTAATTAGTAAATTAATTTTTCTAATAAATATCATAAACAATAAAATAAATATTTAACCACCATTTTTTATATTGATCAAGTATAAGGTATTACAATGAAATACAAATTAAAAAAAAAGTAAAAATATAAAATTATGAACTTAATTATTTTATAATTAAGCCATAAATGTTATTTAATTTTCTGATGGAATTGGATACAAATAAAAATAAATATATTAAATGTTGATTATACTAAATTAAAATGAATAAGCATATTCTGATTTATTTCAACATACATTAGTTTTAAAATTATGAACAAATATTAATTAATATATCTTAATTTTATTTTCGTAAAATAATTCCTCAATACCTTATAGAAATTAAATTTATATAAAAAAAATTATATTACTTTAATCATATACATAAAATTTATATATTTAAAATACATAAACACTTGTCTATTTTTTCAAAAGTATTTTATTTAATTAAATACATCAAATATTTGGTCTAATATTTCAAATTTCACATTTAAATTATTCATTTTTTATTAAAACCAAATAAAATATAAATAATAAAATAAAAAATATATGAATATATATTAGATCTTAGTATAATACAAAGATAAATAAAGAAATAGTGATGCAATACAATTCCTTATTCATTTATGTATAATATAATATTTTTAAATGATTATAATTATGTAAATATAATTTATTTTGCAGTTTATTATTATTTCTTCTCAGTCCAACATCTTATCTATATAAAAATTACATAATGTACTTTTTCTTTAACGTATGCCTAAATATCTAACTTTGTTTGTATGTATATTATTAGATATTTTTAATTTCTTCAAAATAAAATAATTAATTCTTATAAACGAATTTATTGAGTTTTTCATTTATTCATTCACTTAATGGAGTAAAATTCTAACAGTCATGAAAAGTTTTTAGAACTAATAATAATAAATTTAATAAAAATAAATATAAAAAATATTAGTATATTATTTAAATTCAAGGAATTTATAAATTTGTTAAAATTGAAAAACAATTGTCTGAAAAAATCTTAATAAATAATAAATAATATACAATATATAAAAATAAAAATAGCATGTACAGCAGCTTATGTATATATTTTTCAAATACAATATAATAAAATAATGAATGTAAATAAGCTTAATAGATTTTAATTATTTTAATAGATGTTATATATTTCATACTTTATTTTAATTGAAAACTGTGAGATTTAAATATTTCTTAAAATATTATTAAATCATTTAACTTATTCATTATATTTTATGTACATAAAATGTACAGATACATTTTTATTGAATTATGCAATTCTTCTAATGTAATGTGCATAATGTTGGCAGTTCTGAATAAAGAGGTTAGTAATAAGTAATGAAATAGCTTTCTTCCTTTGATAAAAATGATAGTGTGTGGTGTTAATCAAGTAATGAAAATGCCGCATTAGTATGTAAATTATAATTCGATTAAATATCAAGATTTGTTTTTATTAATTAAAAAATTATAATTTTATTTGATAACATCGAATTTTTACCTGTATGAATTGCACGTCTTGTATCAAGTTTTTTCGTAACTACGACTCAACTGTACTTTTAAATAATTAAATTAAATATTGCTGTTATTCATTCTTAGAAACTACATAGTCGGACAATATTTGTTTTTCATTTTTGAAATATATAAATGAATTTAATCGTAACTCAACATTCAATGCATTTTTATAATTATAGTGTATGTTTAGATGAATAATGAATATAAAATTTCAGAATTAATTTATATTGAAGTGTGAAACATAGGAATACTATTATTTTTAATTCCAAATTATAAAGGTTATAATATAATACACTATGATAATTAAAAAGTATACAAAAGATAAAGCCACTGCGCTTGACAAAACATAAAAAATATATGTTAAGATTAATGAATTATTTATTAAGATAAAACAAAATGAAAAAAATTTTCACGCATGTTACAGTGAATTATTTGAAACAAAACTGCAATTTTTTGGTTTGAATTGCAATACATTTTTTTATCTTTTCATTTAAAGTAATTTAATGTAAAATAATTAAAATAATTTAGTAGGCTCGAAAAGTTGGTTAAATTTACACAAGTTTTTCGCATTTTTTTATTCAGTGATGAAATTCTACACTCATCAAACTATTCTGTAGGTGTTTTGAATTATTAATCCAATTTAATAAAAAAATTAATCAATAGTTATGACAGCACCCACAAAAGAGGACAACCAAAACATATCTAGTCTATACCTATTACAACTTAAATATATACTTAACTTAAAAATAAATTAAAAAATAATATAATAAAATGTATTTATTATATTTAACGTATTTAAAATAAAATGTATTTAACGTGAGATAGAAACTGTATTATTACACGGGTTTAAAATCTTATAATATAATCTATCAACTACTTTTATGTAAAAAATATCAATTATAATTTTTTATCTTATTAAGTTACTTAATCTCAAAATATTTTATTTTTCCTACAATAAAAAATAATATACATAAAAATATATTGTAATTCAAAAGAATCAGATGAGAGCTATATGCAAATTTTTAATATATATTTTAGTTTTCAGGAGTAATGGTTGGTACTGGTTCTGGTGTATTTCTTTATCAATTACATGATTATTCATTGTTAACTCCTACTGGAGTAGATGGGCCACCTGCCAGTCTATTAGGACTGAGTGCATTGAGTTGTGTTCTTGCCTGGTTCATTTGGCAATTTGATTATAGTAGCAAGTCACAAGTTATTTCGGTATAAATTTCATTTTTCACTTACTATGATATATTTATTAACTTTATACTGTTTATAGCTTTTGTTTTGTATTTTATTTTTAAAATTTAAACAACGTAATTTAACATATATGATATTAAATAATAAAATATATTTGATTAGATCCATGTATTTTAAATGTATTTTTTATATATACAATTTTTTGTTTGAATTTTATGACATATTCATACTATCACTGCAACTAATTCTATGCTATTAAAATAAGTAACAATTTGAAAATTTAATTTACTATCTTAATTTTACAATATTTATAAACTTTATTAACTATTTACATTATACATTTACAATATTGTTATGCAAAAATTAATGAAAATAGGAAATAATATTTTAGAAAACTCTATATATTGTAGCCGCATTTAGAATTACAAATTTCATGCTCAAGTATGAATAGTTTACTATAGATAGTAATGCGTAGAAAATAAAATTGTCATAAAATTGAAGTAAAATTAATACTGAAACATCGCTGAATGCAAGTATGAAAAATACTAAAAATTAGTCTGAAAGTTGTACGGTAAATTATCACATGCCTAATGACAGGAAAGGGGTAGCTATGTAAAACATTCAGGAATCTTATCGCAAGGTATTTCAGCCACGTGATAACAGCACTGATACTTTTATCTATCTTATACCTTTCTATCGTCAATCTTTTACATAGCTATGATTCGAAAATATACGAAGAAATATATGCATTTTTTCATGTAGTTTCGACATTAACTTATTTATAGATGTTATAATATTTATTTATAAATAAAAACATTTAAAAGAATTTCAAATTACTTTATAAACAAAATTTTTTATATGAATTCATAAGGAATATATTATTCATAATTTTTTTCATTTTCTATTGTATATAAATTTAATTATTCAATATATAAATGTAATGATAATATTAATTTATACTTTTTATACTCCTGCTTTTCTTTGTAATATAAAATTATTTGTCAAAAATTATTATAACTTCTAACTTAATTGTATATCATTTTTTTGTTTTTAATTTACTGCTCTTTATTTCTTATTCAGTTAGCAACTCTAATAACAATTATTGGTGTAATCGAAACTTGTGTAGGAATTTGGGCATTGGTTCGTCACCAACAAATTTATGCGCTACCAGAAAAAGTTCTTCAAAAGGCTGTTCTTGCTTTAAGTGATTCAAAAAGTGAAGATTTATGGCATCGCATACATATAAAGGTATATATTATACTATTTAAATAATGAAAATTTATAATATCAATTTAAAAAATCTTAATATTTAATTATTTATTACCAATTTATTATAAAAACAGATTGCATATATCAAGTTTAAAAAATATAATTATTTTCATTTAAAATTTTATTTCATTTTAAATTTTAAGTAACAATTTTATTATATTATGTAGACTAATACTTTTGATAGTTGATAAGCTTAAAATATTTTTATATAGCATATGGCAATACTCAAATAATATAGTGAACAAAAATAATATTGATATAACAATATTGATAAAATATTGATATAACAATATTGTATAACAATATTGATAATATTGATATAACAATATTGATAATATTGATATAACAATATTAATAATATTGATATAACAATAATTTTTTCTATATAATTAAAATCTTAATAATAATCGTAACATTTCCAACATGTAAGACCATACTTTGCTTTTTCAATTTTATCTTGAATTTATTACATTTATATAATTTTTACTAACTAGGTATCTCCAACAAATTAATATTTGTAGTTTTTATTCTACTTATATATACTCATACATTACAATAAATAAGATTTTTAATAATTTTTTTAACTTTTTGCAATTTTTTCAACTATAGATAATAACATACTCAAAATAATATAATAGATTACATTATAAAATACACTAATAATTTTATAAAAAAATTTTGTAAATTAATTTAGAAAAATACAAATACTTATTTACAGTGGTCTTCTTAACGCATGTAATCCTTAAATATCATTAGTAAGTAAATTAACAAATATTGATGATAATGATTAATTAACATTTTTATGTGCAATCAAATATATCAATACAATAAATACAAAATTCATAAATTGAAGTAAAAACAGCATACAATTTATTTAATTTTTTTTTTAATTTTTATAAATACACTTTGAAATTCATATAGGGAGCTGAATTAAAATATTATAAAATAAGATATTTTTAAAAGTTTTAAAAAATGTTAATGTATAAACAATGATAGTTTCATATTTAAAGTTTGGTAATAAATATAAACATAAAGTAAAGCTGCTTTACATTTTTCATTTTAGTTGAATTGTTGTGGTATTAATGGTGCTAGTGAAGATTTTAGACAACAACATAAACATGTTCCATGGTCTTGTTGTTATGAGCCTCAGGAAATTGAAAACAATAAGAAAAATTGTGAGAGAGGGTGTCATCATCTAGTTATCCACAGAACACAGTCAATTTTACTTTACACTTTTCTTTTAGCGCTTTCATCAATTATACTTAAGGTAATAAGCATTCTGAAATATAATTCAAATTTTAATTTAATAATTATTCTTATTAATTTTATTAGTATAAATTTTTTCATTTAAATTTTTAGCTTGTTAAATCTGGAAAATATAATTATTTTTACATAATTTATAATTAAATTATAAAAAACGCTAGTATAATATTACTTCTGAAGGCTATTTTAGCTATTGTTTGTAAACAAATCCATATTTTTAATAATTAAAATATTTAATAATGCAAGTATATTATATAAGTAAAGCTTATAGACCATTATTGAATGAATGTATTAATTACTCCAGAATATCCAGAATTAGTTTTCCTTACATTTTATATAATAGTAGTCAATATTACAATTAAGACTTGCTAATCAATGTGATATGATTTTTCATTGATTAATATCAATTTTTAAAAATATGAACATATTTTATTTATTTAGTAAACTGAAAATTTCATTCTTAGAAAAAATGCAGTAGTTTAATGTGTTATATTATATATTTTTGTTAAATGCTATATTTATGAATTCAATGTTATTTATTTTTATAATTTATGTTTTTGAAATAGTAATAGTTCATTTTTTTAAGAAAATATTTTGAATTAAAAAATCACATTAAATTGATGGTGTGTTTTAATTATTTAATGACTTTTAATGTATAGATAATTTTTATTATTTTACTTATATACATTTTGTATGGCATTTTCTGGGGTAGATTGTTATATTTCGGATTTGTATTTTTACTTATATTCACTTCTTTTATATCAATATTGTCAATGTTTGATGTATTATTTATTGATTATCAATAGAATCAAGTTTACATTTTATTGTGTATTTTTAAATATAATTATTTTCCAGTATGGTACTATTCTTACTTTTTGATATTTATAATAATCTCGTGAATAATATTATACTTTTTTAACGTTTCTGTTAAAAATTTTGTTGTTCCTGAATTCATTGATTACTAATTTATATGAATTTTGTGGTCAAATGTTTCAGATTATTTTCCAGACTATATTGTCAAAGAAAAATCCATAAAAAGTAAAATTATTCATTATTCAACTCCTACTCTCGTCCACACTTTTTTTTTTAATTTATATGTTAAACAATAGTAAAATTATTGCTAAACAATGTTATACTTATTCACTATAATGTTTTCTATTTCTTGGACAGATATTATTGATTTGTTCAATATGTAAATTGAAAGATAATTGTAATATGCGAAAATACTATAAAAGAGGTCACACCTATATTTTATTAATAATAACATTGTTAAGAGGGTTTCGATATATTAATTATTGGAGCATGATTCTTAAATTACAAATTTAAACTATATAAATTGTTTTGTTACAGGCCTGTACCATTTCATTAGCATGGTGTTATGCAAAGGCCATCACTGAGGGAATGTTACATAGAAGAAAAATGCTAAGGATAGCAAGCCAAGCTTCTGCTATTGCCATGACTAAAATAGCAAATCAACCCATGAGCGACGAAGAACATGGCATAAATCTCAGTCCTTCGGTCTAATGGTTATGTTGAATATGGCGATATCATCAAGATTATAAATGTCTTAACTTTATTGATTTATACATACGTCATTATATAAAATTTCATTACATCATTATTTCAAACTATTTTTAAGGAAGCGGAGGTATAAACTTTGATTATTTTGCTTGTATGTATTTACGTTATTCTGTCATTTGTTGTATCCGTACTTATGTGAAAAACGTGATATTCTTGTGCTTGTGAGTATAGTATTATGCTGGGATAAGAATAATAAATTATTTAATTACCAAGTCATTGGTATATAAAGCTCAAATATATTTCTAAACATTTTTTCTTTCTTCTATAAAATATTATTTTTTATATAATTATTTATATCAATTTCTTAACATAAAGAAATACTTTTTTCAACGCAAATATATTAAACACAGTATTTTCACATATAATGTTATTGTACACGCCCTTTTGATCTCAACCTAGTAATTTTATTAAAAAAAAATATATAACATCTGAGCTTCATCCCATACATTAATTTGTACATATATAAAAATATTAATAAATTGCAAGTACTTAATATTGATATACATTTGATTACATATAGGATTAAATATTTTATAACATAATTATAATATTCAAAATAATGGATATAATTAGTAATTTTTCTATTGCACCTTTTCATATAGATACATTATAAGTTTTGCCAATTCTGTAACATTTTCTTATAAACATCTTTAAATGTGCTTCATATTTGTATAGACCATAATATTAATAAAAACAAATAATAATTTTTGTAATTTTGAAATTGAAATATTTTTCCATAGTCAATGTAAATATAAAGTAACATTACTAATAATTTTTAGTTACTTTTTGCTTCAAAAATTTAAAATATATAAGGTAATAAACAAATACTAATAAATAAGTATTTCAAAGATAATCTATATATATGAATCTTTAATAGAATCTTATTCCTATTACATGTAATTAGATTAATTAACATATTATTAGAGTAACGTATTATTAAAATATATGTTATTTTTGATGTAGTAGGAATAGAATTATAATAATTCATTTAAAAAATAATTTTGTTTTTCATAATTTGTAGAATTTTTATTTTTAAATTATATGTAATTTAAGTTTTTTTAAATATTGAATTTAATAATGAAAATCAATTATTTCATATTAAATAATGCAACCAGTTGTTTTAATACCTATATATTGTATCATTAGAAGCCAATTATACTTATAATAATTAATTTTTTAATATTATAAATTCGAAATTTTCATTTATTGTAGAATTTATGTTTGAATTAAAAATGTACTTGCGAGTATTTTATTGTTTGTCAAAATTTTTTAATATTTTGATTAAAATCAACATGTATACAGGATTAGATTTGACTATGAAATGCCAATAATCATTTTCTAAAAAGCAAATTCTATAATTAATATTTTTTTTATATTTTTAACAAAAAAAACTATTGCTGATGCATATTTGAGTATTCAATACCAGTTATGAAATTTTTAAACAAAATAATTTATATTTTTTTAAAAATTATTTTAAAATAATAATAGACAAATTCTTGATCGTATCAAAAACTACAAATTGTATTCTTTTATTATACCTTAAATATATAAATATTACATAATTTAAAAAGTAATAATAATAATCAAATTAATAATTAAACGTATGTAGAATATATATTAAAAAAAATAATTTACAAATATTTTCTTTTAATTTAGTGAGATGTCTAGACAAAAATAGATAAATTATAGAATTTTTTCTTAAATAACTGTTAAATATTATACTGACTTTACTATAATATGCATTTTAGAAAGCCAAACTGAAATTTGATAAATTATAATGAATATTTATAAGCTTAATTTACAAAATTGTAATATATAAACGAAAATTAGAAAAAATCTATATTATATTAAATTATTATTAAACATCGTAAAGTGTAGTGTTTAAAAGGAAGAATTCAAATTTGAAAAATTCTTTTTTGTTCTTTTCTTCTCACAACTTTTATTTGATGAATGTGTCATTATTCTCCTATATTGAATCTCGAGAAATAATACTAGCCTTATCTTAAACATTGATCTCATGAATTTTATTTTAGATTTCAAATTTCATAACCTATTTTGTGTGTGCCCTCACCTTTTTTGTAATAAATTGTCATCGGCAAGAAGTCCGTAACGCATTTTTATTCCAAATTAAAAATACAACTATCAAGCATTTTTATTCAAATACGCAAGAAACGAATACAATTAAAATGAATTGTGGAATGGAATGCATTAAATATCTACTGTTTATCTTTAATTTTATTTTTGCGGTGAGTACATAGATGTATAAAATCTATTTACAATAGTCCTATGCAATATTCCATGTTACAGCAATCCATATTTGCAATTCATCAAGAGTTCATCATCAAATTAAAAGTTCAAATTCATTTACTTTCAAACTTTGTAATTTTCTATAATTTATAAAAACAAATTTAATAAGAATAAGACATTAATTTTTTAAGCTATTTAGAATTCAACACAAATAATATTGTTAAAAATGAATAAGAACGAATGCTTTCACTAAAATATATACAAACTATTATTAAATATATGAATAAAATATAATTATCTGATATATCACATTCAGTAATAAATTAGTTAGAAAACAAAAAAAATTATGATATTTATTATTATGAAATTAGTTCTATATATATATATATATATATATATTAGTATATTACCTTACAAATGATCACATTTAATAACATTACTTTATTTTTCAAAACAGATTTTTGATGATTTATAATAAAATACAGAGATTTTAAAATCAATAAATAAAAATAATTAAATCAAAATAATTAAATAATTATTCAAATTAAAGCAATTGATAAGAATATGTACATGCAATTTAAAAACATAATAGTGTGCAAAATTTTTGTTGTTATTATTATAATTATAGTTCTAACGAACATATATGTATTAAATATACTCATATATATAATCATATAAAATTTATCAACTTTCTATTTCTTGTAAGATTGACATTAATTAGTAATAATACAAGAATCGATATTAACAAATAAATAAATTAGTTGAACTTTAAATTATTAGTATAAATTTTTATACTAGGTATTAATATGTATTTTTCATAATCAAATTTTCTTTTCATTATACAATTATTTTATAATTTTATCTTGTGCTGGAAAACAATATTAGTTACAAATAATTAATTAGAATTAATCAATTATTGTATAGAACATGATAATGAAAATTCTCTAAAAAAAAAAGTTTATAAAAATTTATAATTTATTTTTGTGTAAAAGTACTTTAATTACGATTTAATATCAAATATGACAAGAAACTATATATTTAAACATAAGTTTGAAATCTTCATTATTTGAGATCTTTGAAAAAATATATTCTTATTAAAAATCTTATGCATAAATTAAATGTTAAGAAATTAATGATTAACAAAAATTATTTGAATATATTAATATTTGGTTAAAAATAACCATGATTTAATCATTTATAATTGATTTTCAATTTTTCCACATAATCAAATATTCATCATTTTTTAGGATCTCAAATATTGTAGATTTCAAATTATATTTAAATCTATAGTTTCTTGTCACATTTGATATTAAATCGTAACGTTTTCAATTAAAGTTGTTTTACAAAAAAATAAATTACAAATATTTATAAACTTTTTTAAAAAATTTTCAGTATTAGCTTCTATAGAATAATTGACTCATTTTAACTAATTATTTGTAACTAATATTATTTTCCCTCACTATTTAAAATTATAAAATAATTGAATAAGGAAAAAATATAAAGAAAAATTAATGGAAATAAGTAATTGAAATGGATCATTAAAGATATAAAAACTTAATAAGAACAATTGATACTTAACTTATACTTAATTTGTCTGTATTAATTCGATGTTTTAGAAAACTATACCATAGATAAATATAAAAATATAAATAACCAATTTTATAGATATTTATGTTTTTCATGTATAATTTTTTTTCAATAACTAACTTTTAAAATGTGAGAAGTTCAAATATACATGCAATGTTAATTAATTGATTGGAATCATTTAAACTACATATATATTATTAATTTTTAAGGTATTTGTCATAAAACAATTTACATAAATTACATTTATTTAAAATTCTAGGATAACATACTTTATAATAATTAACTTTATGCTTTAACTTAGATATTAAGTACTAAAATAAAATTTATATATTTGTTTCAAAAGTATTTATAAGTATATATTTTTAATTGTTGAATACTGAAAAGAGTATAAAGTAATTTAAAGAATAATCTAATTATGTTTAGTAAGTAGTTAAATTTGTTGTTGTCTGTATAAATTATAAAAAACTTTTTGAATGTAATAAAATTAAATGAAATTTTAAATGTAACACATTATGAGGTTATTTATACGAGAAGGTAAAAGATATATTAGGTTGATAAAATAACATGTTTTAAGCATATTAACTTTTTCTAATAATTAATAATTTAAAAAGATAAGTTAAGAAATTTCAAAATATCTATTCACGAAATTATAATTTTCAGAACATTTTTAATAACTCGAATTTGTTGAATAAATAAACCGTATTAGTGTATATGCACACTCAATTGTAAATGATTAAATATAATGAATAAAAATAAATACTTTTTAAAATGTTTTTTACAAGGATTTGGTATGTAATAGTAAATAAAATTATAATTGTAGCAAATGAAATTAACATTATAAAACATAATAACTATCAATTAAGTTAATAAAGCAATAATATACGCGAGACAAATGATAATTAGAAAAAACAAGATATTCGGGATTAAATTCAGTTGTAAAATGAATTATAAAACTTATATATAATTAATCAATATATAAATCATTATTATTCTAAATTATTACTTGAAAGAAAAGTTCAAAACGTTTACTTTGGATAAAAAAGTTATTGCAAGAGACGAAGATTAATCATAATTATGTCATTTAAATAAGACTTTGTGTATGTATAAAATGAAGCTTTTATATTTATTTTAAACAAAATTTATACTTATTTGTCAAGTTTTTCATTTACAAAATATTAAAGATTTTATAAGGAAAAGTAATATTTTAAATAAACATAATTAATTTAATTGAAATTTTTATTTTCAGCAATTCCCATTCTAATTATTAAATGAAATTATTTCTTAAATGTGAATTACATAACAGATAATTTTATAAAATTTTAATGTTTCCATCAATTTATTATTCGTCTATTAATATTAATTAACATTACAAATACCTTTTTAAGGCACCTTACTTAATCATTTGCAATTACATAAATATTATTAAATGTAGTTAAAGTTTAATAAAATGATAATTTTATTAATCTTCTTAAGTAAACAATACATTATAAATATTTATTGTAATATATTGTAAATTAAAAATAAAATTATCGTTACCTCCTAGTTTCATCGTTTAATTTGTATAACTAGTTTAGAAATAATTATTTACTAATGTTAAAAATTTTCTATAAACGACCAAGAAGTAAATTCTTTAAGAAAATTATATAAATTTATAACTAATAGAAAATAACTAATATTAATATAGTATTTTTCAATTTTATTCTAAGTTGAAATACAGTAAGTAAAGAAAATTAAAAAAACACTAATTACTAATTAATTTACTGAAAACTGACAACAATAAATTGTTTTAATTTGTTTTGCAATAAAAATCTTTTATTGGTTGTATATTCCATATGGGAGAGTGTTAATATATATCTTGGTGAATTTCAAGTTATTTCGTATATTTATAATTTACCAAATTCCTGATTTTGGTATTTCTGTCCAATAAAATATATTGGTCAGATATTACATTTTATTTCCAAAAGAAAATTACATTAAACATATTGAATTTATCTTTGAATAAAAAAAATATTATATTGTACTATCTGGCACACATTTAAAAAATATAATTATAAATATTTTTCTAAAAAAAATATAATTTGCTTAATATATAATGTTTAAATTATAATGAATAATCAAAGTATTAAGTTATTTGCTTATTATTAAAGCAATTAATTACTGTTAATCTTATGGTATAGAATGAAAATGAAAAAAAAAGAAAAATAATTCAGTTGTTTTAAAGTACCCCCTTCCTCTCATACTCGACATAGATGCAAAAAATAAACTTTAAAAAATTTTTATTATAGCTTAGTGGATTGGCAATTCTTATATGTGGAGTGATTATTCACATGTCGATGGATTATGTTATCAAAGCTAATATTGAAGTACCAATTTCTTCGCCAGCAATTGTATTAATTATCATTGGTGCTGTGATTTTTATCATTGCTTTCTTTGGTTGCTGTGGAGCTATTCGTGAAAGCCATTGCATGGTTATTACTGTAAGTGTTGTAAAAATATTTAAGAGTAAAGATTTAAAAGTAAATATTATAATTTCATTAAGTTGTATAATAGAAAAATGCATGAAATAAAAAAAAATTATATATACATACATATTTCGATTATAAATGAATGTAACTTATATATCTGAAATTATGCATATATTTTTTGTAAATTTGTAATTTTATAATATATTTCTTTCTTTTTTACATATTCGGTTTTCATAAATTAATTCATATATTAATATTTCTGTCTTGTATATTAATATTTTTATTTTAAATTAAATTCAATCGAAAAATTATACACTTTTAGTTTGCAATACTACTGTTGACTCTTCTTATTATCAAAGTTTCTGTAGCTTCATATATCTTTATACAAAATGGAAATAAAATTGAAGAAAAGATTTTCAAGGATTTGGAGAAATCTATAAAGCAATACTTCAATAGTAATGAAGCTATTCGGACAAAAGTGGATTCTATTCAATTTGTGGTATGTAGTACTATAAAAATAATTGTTTTCATAGTAATATTTCAGATAATTTATTGAAATATTTAAAATAAAGTTGAAATTTTTAATAGGTTTCTATTAGTTTAAATTTTAATAACAAATATAATAAAACTGTAAAGGTAAAATTTATCTTAAAAATAATTGAAAATGGTAATAATCTGTAAATGATTGTATATATAATTTGTATTTCTGTGCGGAAACCACATTGCAACTCAAATTCAGTTGATTTGATAATTATTTGCCTTCAATAAGTATTATTAGCTTTCTATTTTTGTAATTGACGAATATGAATATTGGTTGAACAGATTCCTTTAGGTCCAGGTGACAAAATCGGATCTTTATCTAGGTAAAAGTTCACATTCATTGATTTTGTTTTCATTGTGATCAATCCATTTGACCGTAATGACTTGAGTTATGACGTTATTTTAATTTGACATATTTAGTTGAATTGAGTCGTTTAGTTTGAATTTTAGATTATGCAATTGTATTATCTTGGTTTTGAATTGAACATCGTTACATTATTTTAATAATTATAAGCAAAATCGAACCATACCTTTTGTTCAAAAAGATGAATTTTTATTAATCTCATTTGTCTATTGTGTGATAATCTTACACAAAGAATTTATCTTTCCCCTAATGTTGTCCCCTGGTTTCTTTTATTCAATACTATGTTGTGAATTTTCGATTGGATATTTGCATGCACCTTAAAGCTTATGAAATTTATTATTAATTTTTTAATTATCAAATATACTATAAGTTACTTTGTGTGCTTCAATTAGAGCTACTTTGGTTTCAAATAACTTCTTTATATAACTATATAAAGATAAATTCATTAACAAATATTTGAAATAGTCTTGAGTATGGCTCATCATAAGGCGTTTTTAAGCAGTGCTTTATTTACAATAATAATATGTGGCTACACATTGGTACATCATATATGTAGATATAAATTTATTCATATGACCTTATAAGGAATTAACTTTTTTTTTTTTATATAAGATATATAATTAGACACTATTTGCAATCACCATTTATTCAATCAATATTACCAAAAGCATATTAATTTAACATTTTTTAATTTCAATTTGAAATAACGTTTTTGAGAATACAGCAGGTTATTTTATGAATACTTCTTATGTGTCTAGAAAAACAAGAATGTGATAATATTAATTAAAGTAAAAACCTAGTCTATTAAATTTAAAAGTTTATTGAATTATTTTATTCAAAATCTGAATATGATTATTACTATTGTTTTTAATAAATGAATCAAATTATATTTCGTAAAATGCTTTTAAATTTATAATAGTACGTTTTCTCAATTTCGTATATTTAGTTTGTCTAATAATAGAGTATCCGGCTCAAAGAATCAAATGTCTACGATTAGAGTAAGTTCCCGGGTGGTTGTTGGAAGGATTGCGAGCAAGTCAAAAGGATAGTGCATGTATTCAATAATTAACACATTTATTTTACTTGGTGTTTATTGCTGTTATCCCGTTAAACTACACTATAATGATTCTAAGTTGATGATGGAAATCTTAGCTATCTTGCTGTTCTTTTATGGCAGCCACGTGGTGATAACGTGCAATACATGCATAGGTAATAGGTCGTAAATCTCCTGGTCCTCTTTATGTGGTGCGCGTGGTACTGTAACTGTACGCGTTGAAGTCTGAGAACGTAAATCTCAGCGCTTCTTCGGATAGTGGCACGTGGTGATAGCTTGAGTGTTGCTGTCTATGAGCTTATTGTTTACCTGGTTGGTTCTGCAGATGTGCTCTTAGTGGCACTTAATTTTAGTCTGCAGATGTTGCCGTGTATGGCACCTTGTAGATCTGCCTTGTAGTAACTAAACTTGCCTCTTGTACTTCTGTAGATTGTGTGCGCTTGGTCGCTCTACAGATCTTTGCCTCGTGAGGCATATATTGTATATAATTATCATTATTAAGAAATGGAACTTTTACCTTGTTAGTTCTGCATATTTTGGGCTCTTGATGTCTGCAGGCTTTGCTTCATGCGGTAGCTTCTAGGTTCTGTTTTGTGTTGTGCTCTGTGCACCACTGTTTCCTTGTTCTTTTTTTGTTTCCTGTTCCCTTTTCCTTTTCTTGGCACTGCTGGAAGTGTGTATTTTGCACTTATCTTGTACTTATTATGAGTTGGATACGACTAGCCTTTGCCTCTTAATTCTTGGCCTTTACTATTTATGTGTACATACTTTTGGCATTCTTTACTTCATACTGTTCTTTGGCATTCTTTGTAAGAAGAAGCATTTGCGCCTTGCCGACAACTTTCTTAAAAGCGTTCTCTTGACCACCGCGTGATCATTTACGAATTGCATCTTTCTTGGCATCTCCAATCGAATCTTTCATTATTGGCGGCTCCAAACAGAGCACCTATTACTTGCATCCCCACCATGAGGGGGACTTGCTGAAGCGTTCTTATTTCACTATCCAAGCTACATTGTAGCTAGACTTGACAACAACGCATGCGTTGTGTATCGTATACTGCAATTTTTGCGTGTAACACCTTTTTTTCAGATGTAAAATAACGTGGGATTCCAGATGTTTTAATGACTTGTTTTCTACAACTCTGAACGACATGTTTTTGACAAATGCTTAGCGACTTGGGAGGGTTCTTACAATTTCGAACAGTTATAAAAATATTGTTGTATTACCGCTTTAAAATGCATAATCTAAAGCTTTAGTTTCGAACGTCCTACAATGTTTATTTGGTCTCCGCATAGCAATGTCCGTTGGAATTCTCCAACCTTCTAAAAGCTTTACTTTCTCGGAGTTCTCGAAACTTCTAGAGCGTTACTCTCGAACGTTCTGCAATGTTTTCCGCATAGCAACACCTATACATTGTTGCCAGCTAACTAAACTGCCGCGTGGATATTTAAAGGAAGCACGCGTCGAAGCTCACGGCTATTACCAGAGTCACCACGCAGATACACCAAGTTAATCCTCAAGCATCGTGCGAGGGCATTCTTTCAATTTACAAATTTTCGAGCCCAAGCGCATAAGCCGGTTGCAGGTTATGAGTATCAAGACGTACCATAGCACTCAGTACCAAAGCACTCACATTCAAGAAGTGTCACATTGAGGTATCAACTATTTCTTCACCCTTCCATACCACATCCTTCTACAAGATATCAAAAGGAGATTAGCAATCAAGACACCACCACGTGGCACTACACTAAGAGGTGTCCAGAGATTTATGACCTCTCACTTCTCAGTGTAGTGACCCATCACTAAGCACACTAAAGATCCGGAGACTTACGACCTCCTACCTCAACATATAGTGCATGCTACTACCACGTGGAACCCACCAAGGAACGGCAAGATCTCAACGATTCTCATCATCAATGTAGTCCTCAATATCTCAATATATCTCAATATCATCAATATAGTGTAGTTGTAAAATTAAATGCGATAAACAGCACGAAAAGCAAATACGTTTAATACTGAATTGAAGCATTACCCTTTCAACTTAACCACACTTTTTCCCACCAGTAAACTGATGGACTTAACCTAATCCAACCATCTTGATTCTTCGACCACCGGATGACTGGAATTCTAAACAGTAGCACTTAACATAATGGCTGAATAAACACGTACTAATTTGATCAATTAGATGAAAACTATTTTAATATAATTAAATTAGAGTAATTTATTATATATGCTTATCATTACGACTCTTATCTCTCTTGTGTCGGTGGTAACATTAATAACAATTATATGAAAATTATATATCTTTCAGCTTAATATCATAAATTTCACCCTACTATAACATTATGAGTAATATTTACTCTCTCGTGTCAAACTAACTTAATCTAGGTTTTTTAATAATAATTGATCAGTACTTTTATACGCAGATCGAATGAAAAATTTTAAATTTTCGTTATTTATATAAAAAGAAAAAATTAAGTATTTATGTTTAATTTGAAATGGTTTTTCATTAGATACCGTGCTACGAGTCCAGAATTTTCCGATATTAACTTAAGAAACTGGGGAGAAAAGATTTAAGCAAGTACAAGTGTGAATAAATAAAAATAAATACTGTTAAAATATTGTTTATTTAAATTTTAAGGTATAAAGTTCGCCAGCTATTGAGTTATCTATTTCAAAGAAAAACTAATTAAAATTAAAAAAATAATTAAAGATTTTAATAATTCAGAATACATGTGCAGTTTTATAATTTAATCCAATAGTATTTTCGTTGTTAACCATAATTTATCCAAATTATTTACTTTTAAAATAAGAATCTACATAATTACTTCTACAAATTACATTTTGACTTATAAAAATTACATAAAATATGCAAAGCTTAGAGTGCACAAAATTCCAGTATCCAGTTTTCTAATCACTTTAAATTAATTTAACATGATTAAATAGTTTCCACAAGTTCAATATAACAGAGATTATGCTATTTTAATTTATCAATAATTTCCTGCACATTTTTGTGAAAAAATGTTTTCATTGTCTTTGGCTCATTGAAAATGTAAGACTAGAAAGATTATAATTTTATTATATATTATATCTAAGCATGTATTTGAGATTTTTGTAAGAAAGTAATTGAATTCGATTATTGCAAATCATAAAAACTGATTTAATTTTTTCTTGAATTTGGATTAACTAAATTAACCTGTTTAGATTCTGTAATAGTAAATTTAGGATAAAAATTACTTTCATTATACGCAAAAAGTTTTTTTTTCGTAATGTTAAGCTTTTTATGAATTTATCTAAACAATATATTTTATCATGTAATTTTTATGTAATTAAAAATATATATTATTGATTATAAAAATTTTATTTAACAATCTAATAAAATATAAGACATAGATTTATCAAAATTCAAGCTTCTAATTTATAATAATATTTGATTTTTATTTTAGAGACAATCATACTTATTAATTTGACCTGAAATGATTTAAACATAGATTTATACTTACAGTTGTAAAATAAATAATTTTTAGTATATATTAGCATAATTTTTATGAATATATAAATTAATTACTTCTAATAATTTGTTACTTTAATTTATTTATTTCAGATTTTGTATATTTTTAATAGTATTAAAAACTTATAAATATTACATAATTTGTTTTAAATATAATTTTATTGTTGTGTAAATAAAAATTTCATATTTTAGTTCCAATGCTGTGGATACAACTCTTATAATGATTACTTAAATGATCAAAAAAATACTCAAGGTATTATTCCAGGCAGTTGTTGTAATAAGCAAGAAAATCAGTTTTGTCATACCTCTGAAGCATCAAAGGTAGAAGGATGTGGAAAAATCTTGTATTCTTTTATTATATATTATGGTAGTGCTTTATGTGGCTTAGCTCTTGGTATTGCTGTTATTGAGGTATGTATAATTTTTATGAATCTTATTGCATGTAATAACGATAAATATATTAAAAGAAAACTAACTTCAAAATAATATGTTATAAAAGTTCATTAAACAAAAAATTGAATTAATTTGATAAAATTTTAATCAATAGCTTTATTAAGTACTTATTGTAAAAGGATTTAAATAACAATTTTATAAGACTGTGCATTATAGAAATTTGCATTAAAATATTAATGTACATACAAAATCAAGGTTACTCTTTGACCACCTTTAGTTGTGTACATTATGCTTTTGGATAAGTTTAAAAAAATGGTTTTTGGCTATAAATATTTAACTATTTTAATTTACTTTGAATTTGTTGAATTTGTTTATAATTGTAAAAATTATAAATAATATATATATAATAAATTATTGAAAAAATAATTAAATATTAAGGAGGCTCATTAAATTTATATTAAATAAAATGTTGCATTTTGATTTTCAATAAAACATAAAATAATGATTCTTTTATTATTAACTGAATTCGATTGATTTTAATATTTATGTAATATTTGAGTTCTTAAAAAGTAAATTCATCTTTTAATTTTGAAAAAGTACGAATAGATATTTTGTATTATAGAATAAATATTTAAATGTAAAAATAACATTCAATCATATTAATTTAATTAATAAATTAAATTTTTAATTTTTTTCATCTAATTACTACAAAAACATGTAATTTTCTTATAATAAAGAAAATATATATAAACAATTAATATAAAGACTTCTATATTATTTATTAACAGATTTACAAATTAATTTCATCATGTATAATATTTACTTTTAAATATTTATTATAAATATTCTATAAGAACAAGAAAATGTTGAAGAGTTACAAAAACATTTTATAAAATAATACTTATTTAGCTGATTAGTGATGTGTAATAAAATATACATATTGAGAATACATAATTTTTTGTTGCTTTTGAATATATATTTTTATGAATTTCAAATGATTTTTGGTTATATTTAAAATATTTTTGTTACAGTTGATTGGTATTATCTTCTCCTTTTGCTTGGCCAATTCGATAAGAAATGTTGAACGTCGTGGTTACAAAGTTTAAATTCAAATCAAGAAATATTTTTTCAAACACTAATTTTTTCATGCAAGTTTTATACTTTATTGTTTAAAATAAAATAATTAAGAAAAAACGTAATATTTGAAAAGAAAATTTCAAATATACTAGTTTATGTTTTAGGTATGACTTTTTTTTCTAAAAAGCATAGAAATAATATCTATTATATGTAATTAACTCTTAACATTTAAAAAATATATTAAGATATTAGGAAAAAATTTCTTACTCGAGATTACAATAGAATCAAATAAAACATTGATATATATATATAATTTAAAATATTTAATTATGCATAAAAAATTTTATCTGCTCTGATGAACAATTGAATTTAATTATATCATTTTATTAAACAATTTACTTATATATCTTAAGACATATACAAGTCTTTATTTGAGTAACATTTAAACTGCAAATATTCATCTATAAAAAAGGTTTCTTAAATTAAAAAAAAAAAAATTCATTTATAGAATAACTTAATACATATTACGTTACAAAATTACTTGAATATAATACATACAAATTTAATATTTCTTAAATTATAAATTTGATTTTAAATAGTATGTATTAAATACTTATTATTAACTTATTTAAAAAGTTAATTGTTTATCAATATTCCAATTTAAGACTTTTTACATTACGTAAATCATTTGTAAATCAATTAATACATTGTTAATTAAATGTGTACTATAAAAATATACAAAATTTATAAAAATGGCTATATCATTTTATAGTGTATGATATTGTATATCTATAAATAGTCAACAATATAACATTTCCTAATAAAACAATTTGAGACGTAACTGTTGGAATACTTTTATTATTAAATATTTGAATAAATTCTGAAATAATTAGTCAGTATAATATGATATAGGTGTTTTCTTATACTAGACAAATTTTATTATATAAATTCGTAAATTACATTATAGAAAGTATTCATTACTCGATTTTGTTTACTACTACTTTTTCTTTGTCTTGTTAATATTTATCGAAAACATTAATAAAAATATGTTATAAATATATTTTAAAAGATCTTTAAAGATATTATAACTGCTAATTTAATTTAAATATTCTGTCAATTATTAAAAATGTTTTTGTTATGTTATATAATCTGTTACAGATTGAATTTTTTTGATATTCTTAAAATACATATTCTTTCTGCTTATAGTATAATTTTGTTTTAACTTCCATTATTATAAGTAAATAATAAATATATTTACAGTATATTTAATCTATTTCTCAAGTAGTGCTGAACTTTGCATAAATTATATTAATAAATTTTGTTTATTTTGTAAAAGATAGTTCTATATATGATACATATTATTTCTTAAAATATATACCAAATACTTTATAATTTAAATATGTAAAAGTGAGTATTAAATATTTGTATACACAATAATATAAATTTATTAGAACAAAATTTTATGCAAGTGACCTTAAAAGTACAATGATTATAAGACAATTATTATCTATATAATTTTTGTAAATATCATATCAATATTTGATCCAAAGTTCATTTATTAATTAAAAAAAAAAATTTATTTTAAATACCTAATAATCGAAGATTTGATAAATGTCCTACTAAATTTATCTCAACACAAATTATTATTGGTTGTTCCTTTATTTACTTCACAGAAATTTTCAAGATTGATATAAATATTGAATTTTGTTTTTAATGTTTAGGAATCTAATTATAGATATAAAAAGTTAAATCTATACCTTGACTAAATTACGTTTTTGCAATTTAAAGATTCTATTTATTTAATCAGTTAGTGGCTATTTATTCATTCACAATGTAATATAAAACATATGAATATAAAATACGTTTCTCACACTTTTCATTTATTAAATTTATTAGGATAAAACTTATTGCCATATATTTAGTCGCCAAAATTTTTAGCCGATTATTAAATTAATAAAAAAAATTTGTTGTGCAGATTCGAAATCAAACTGATTTATGAATTCTACTATTTCAGCTTGCTTGTTCATATGCTTTCTATTATTTCTATCTTTTACTTTATGTTTATTAGAAATTTATTTATATTTTTAAGACTAATTGTATTTTAAGATATACAAAATTAGAATTTTAGGTACGTAAGCTTAAATTAAACTAAAGGTTAATTAATAAATTAAAGTAAATTAAAGGTAATTAATTATTGGTTGTTATAAATGTAAATAAATCGATATTGTATTAACTGATAATCGGATTCATGGTACACTATTTGTTCAGGATTGAACCACCCAACAAAAAATAAGAATTTATTGTTTGTTAAAATACGATTCGGATAAATCACATTTAGGTTAAGGCGCAATATTCAAATTATACGTTACAAAAATTCACTGGAAATTTAGCCGCGCACTTTGATCGCATAGCAACAAAGGAAGCTTCTCGAAGTTGTCAAAGTTTGCTTCCAGAGAATTCATAACACTAAATGTACGCAATCGTATTTAAGAAGCAACGAACGGAGAAGAAACCAGTCTTGTTGAATTACTCAAGTGAAACTAGTGTCAGTAAAATCTGTGAAAGTCGAACTCGTCTGAAGGAATCCCTGCAAGGTATATTATTATTATTACTCTTCAAATGTTATTACTGCTGGCCAGCTATCAATATTATTTACATTGTCGCAAATCCTCGCCTAATTCTCGGGACCGCGACCCGGCCCATATCTATTTAGTACTACGAGACAGTACCGGTTATACCACAATAAATTGGTTCTGATAAAACCACAAAGAGGGCGACAGATTAGTAATAATCCCCACCACCAGCACAAGCCGAATATCACTCAATCAATTCCCAAGTCGAGACAAGCGTCTAATCAGTCGCGAGCCGAAGCTCGCTTGATAATGTTGGAGCATTATCATAAGCGTCGAAGCTCCGCGAGCCAACTAATGTCCAATGTAATTTAAGCGCGACTCACACGATACGTGACTATAAAATAAGACCCGAAATTATTACCTAACAATGCTTGCATTCCCAGACGATTTTTCGACTTGATAATCAGCTGCCTAGTCACTACATTCAACAATTCTCACCATAATAAAGAACACCTACAATGCTGTAAAAACTACTTAAATAGTAATAGTATATAATAATAAAAGTTTAGTGTTTTAATTAAACAATAGTTTTAAGATGACGTTTATTAAAACATTGTTGATATAATTTAATCACTTGAATTAAATTCATAGAAAAACAGTGCAGTTATATTTTTATTAATAAGATGTAATAGAAAAATATTTTAAAACTGAAAAATTTATAATTTAATATTTTACAGATAAACTGTAATAATTGATAAAATATTCGTACAAAGCTTACTACCATATAAGAAAGAAATATTTAATTAAATGTAATATTGCTGAGATAAGATATTAATATTATTAGAAAGTGTGATCATACTAAAATAAAAAAATTTATATTATATTTAAAGTATTTCATTTAATTTTGACTCAAATCAAAGATCTAGTGCACTAAAGCATTTTTATATTTTATACAGGTATTACATTTTTTAAATTTTTCAAACAATCCATATACGTCAATTTAATTTAACACTATTGACTGCATTTATTTTAAACATTAAAAAACAAATAAAAAGTTTTACAAAAATGTAATAAACGATTGTTACAATTCCAGATTAAAATTCTTTAACACTATTATTAAAAACATTTTTAATACTAATAATGGTAATAAATAATTTTGTTAGAAAATATCAACTGTGTATAATTATATTTTAAATAATAACTGCATAAAGTATTACGTGATAATTCTAAAATTACTCTTATTTTTCAAAGAAAATTAAGAGTTTGCAGTTTAAAAATTATATTTATGTAAAGAGGTATATTTACATATTATAAAATAAATTCACATTTATATTATCTTTACATAATTATTGGTGTATCAAAGTATAATATTTTTATTAAAAGTTGAAAGTTTATGAATGAATTTCTACATACATGTAGTAATTTTTTAAGTGTTAATGCGATAAGTACAGTATTAAAACATACACAAATTTTAATTTTTGACCTGAAATGGCGAACTGAAATCATTGTTTCTTAATAAGAACAACCTTTAATTAAAAAAATTAAAAAAATACATAGAACTAATAAATATATTTAAATAAAATAATTTCATTTCTATTTGAATCAAATACATCAATAGATAAATAAAATTATAATTTTAAGATAAATTTGAATAAATTATGAATACAAAATTTAATTAAAACTTTAATAAATCCTTTCAACTTTACCATTATACAATTATTTACATGTAATTATCAATTATAAAATTGAAATGTAATAGTTTATATTATATAAAAGCAAATATAATGAAATTAAAATTGTTCATGAATTGAGATATGACTATTATTAATATTTATTATAACATTTTGTAAATCTTCATTTATAAATTAAATGCGTTTTTACGATGTAATAATCTTTAACTTGGATTACGTACTAAATAAAATAGTGCATATATTAGAATTATATTAGAACAATTATATTGTTACTGTTAAATATTAAAAAATAAGTTTAATGCAAGCAAAAAATATTATTGGTATGTGTTCGGGATTGGAGCAATTTCCAAGAACTTTAAAATGGGAAAAGAACAAGTCTTCCGGTGCTTATGTTTGTAAACGTTGATTCTGCGAATTCTTGAATATTCTACGCCTTTTTTCGAGTGTCCTACAATATTTCCGTGTAGCAGCGTCTATTGGAAATTCTCGAATATTCTAAAGCTTGACTTTCTGGAATCCTCAAAATTTCTAGAGCTTAGTTTCTGACGTCATCAAGACTTTCGACATAGCAACACCTATGCATTGTTGCCAGAGAAGTAAGCTATCGCGCGAATACTTAAGGGAAGCACGCGACGAATCACTCTTTCTTAGTGAAACTCTTTCAGTGAAGCCATAATAATTTATAACCCTTAAAGTACGCTATAGTTAAGCAGTCAAGAGTGCTGATTGCATTACAAGAGTAAATATTAAATAAGAAGCTCACCACCTCTGTTGTACTGATAAATGGTACGATAAAATATATTTATTATTTAATAATAAAA